GCTCCACTCGGGAGCCAGAAAGCTGCCTTGGGGCCAGCCCTTCTCTGAAGCGCACCTGGGGACCTACTGTCCTCAGGCTCTCAGCTTTTACAGCACCCATCCGTGGAGAGTGGGAAAGAGGGGAGGGCAGAAGGTGGGTTAACACAGATGGTGACCACCAGGAGGTCAGACGAGGGAGATGGGACGATGGAAAGGTGAGTGCTGCCTGGAAAAGTGGGCAATGAGCTAAAGACCAGGGAAGGCGGTTATGGCGTGTTATAGCTCACTGGACAAGGGAGGAGGGTCACCACGGAAAATATGGGAAGTGTGGGATGCCGAGGGCTGGGGTTGGGGAAGAGGCGGCGAGGAAAAGGGTCACCGGGGAAGAGGGTAATGGGGGAGGGGACCATGACAGGGCGGCGGGGGTGGAGGGAGAAAAAATGGGGGGTTGTAAGGAAGAGGGTGATGCCTGGCCCGGGTCGCGAACACGGCCAAGGCGGCAGGGCTCAGCACACAGCGAATGCTCAGCTGCAGGGCACCTCGGCAGGGCCGGGATGCGGGGCGCAGGCGGGTGCCGGCGTCCCGGAGCATCCTCGGCGGAGCCGGCGGCGCCGGGCGGGGAGGACCGCGGGCCTGCAGCTTCCCGGCTCCCGCCTTCAATGCCCCCTCCTCGGGTCGGCCCGGCCGCTCCGCCCTCCCGCCCCAGCAGCCCCCGTAGACGCCGCTTACCTGCGCCCCGGCGCGCGGGCGGCGGGGGCGGCTGCTAGGACCGAGGCGACGCCGCCGCCCGAGGGCGCGGACGCCCCCTGCTCGCGTCTCGTAGCTACAGCCCAGCCGTTTCCCGGCCCACGCTGTTGGAGCCCGAGCCCCAGCCCGAGCTGAGCCGGTGGCCCCGCCGGTGCCGACGCCGAGCTGCGCTCCGCGGGGCCGGGAGGACCACAACTCCCACAATGCCGCGCGCGGCCGGGCCTCCGGGGGGCGGGGCGCGGGGGCCGACGTGGCGGGTCCGGGGGACGCCCCGACCCCGCACCTCCTGCGCTCTCTCCGAAGTAGAAGGCTCCGGCCCCGCGCGCTCTGCCCGCCCCCCCACGGGAGGGTTCTGGCCCTGGTGCCCCAGACGCGCCGCCCGCCCAGTCCGTTCGGCAGTTCATTGAATCGGGGAGGCGTTGTTAGATTTGCTCTGTCTCTCTCTCTGCTTTCCCTCCCTTTGTCTCTCTGTCTCTCTCCCTGGCTCTCTGAGTCTCTCCCTTCCGCGTGTCTTCCTTTTCCTTCTCTTTCACTTTACCCTTCTCAGTGACTCTTTTCCTTTATTCATTGACTCAACAGACATGTTTGAGGCCCCTGAGACACTTGGAATGAAATCGCAGAATCAAACAGGATCCTTAGTCTGTAGGAAAACTCCTTCGCTCAATACAAATCATGATCGGGCCACCCCAGTGCCCAGTCGTGTGTGCTGTGCTGAGCCTGCCGCGGGGAGCATGGCCGGTGCCCTCGGGGAGCCACGCTCCAGCCAGGAGACAAGTAATGCTCAAGTCATCACGGGTCTGACTCGGCCCCCAACCACCCCACTGGGCAGAGTGGTAGGAAGGGAAAGCACAGGCAGGATGAGCGAGACCTGGTAAGGTGGAGAAGGAGGCCCTAGGGAGGCCGATCAGAGGAAGTGACCCTGGAGCTCGGGCCTGGGGGAGACAAATGGGATGTGTTAGGGGCACCAGGGGCACTATGCATGGACGGGTCCAGGGGACACGGAGTGGGATGTCTTGCCACAATCTTTCCCTATTCCAGACCCACCTCTTCTATGCCCTAGAATTCATCTCTATCGTGGCCCCGGAATCCACCTCATTTCTGTCCCAGAATTCACCTGGTCCCTGACCTAAGGACGTGCCTCTACTGTGAGGAGTCAGTCTCCTCTCTGTCCACCTCTATAATGTCCCAGGACCCACTTCCTCCATGTTCCCTTCCACTTCAGAAGTCCATTTGAATTGATCAATCAAAGAAAGCACAGTGCTGGGGCGAGGGGAAGGGGGCGGGCGGTGAAAGAGAACCAATCTCTTGCCATGTCCCAGAATCTACCTTGTGTCTCTCCCAGGATCCACCTCTTCCATGTCTTAGAATCTTCCTCAAATCTGTCGTTTCTCTCCTTTTTCCAACTCCAAAGGAAGAATATTTTTTCTTTTATTCCACTAAAATAAACCCAAACGCATACATTGGGGGAACCATAAAATGCTTACAGATTTGCTCAAATCAGCACAGGCATCGGATTTAGAAACATTACATAGGACAACTTTCTTCACTGTCAGCCTGAGTGGTTGAGCCTAGGTAGGGTGGAGAAGGTGGGGGTGGCTGTTTGTTTGACCTGTCTCTTGTTCAGAAAGTTGCTCAGATTTAGACTTCTCCAAAGGCATTTTTATATTCAGTCACAGTATCACCCTGGCAGGGTTGGAAAGAAATATGTTTTGTATAGTTATAAATGTGTGTTCAGTTCTTGAACCACTCTGTAATACATTATGAATTAATATTGTCTATTAATCCCATAATTATCTTTGACCAGTGCATTTATATAATATCAATAGATCACTGCTCTGTATTTGTTAAGAGTATTTATTTGTTCAGTGGCAAAATTACCATACGATTTTGTTAACCCTGCTTGCCCTTTCTTCATCTTTTTAGTTTTGTGGAAATGGAAAGGAAATGACCTGGGCCTCTGCCTACCCTTGGGAGACCCAAATAGGCCAGTTCTGCCAGAAAAGGGTATCCAGGCCTTCCAGAAGGGGCTCTGGGTGAGAGCTTCAGATAAACTGTCACTGTGCTAATGGAGGGAGGAGAGGAGGACCAAGTGCTTCTAAATTGCCTGCCTGCAGCTTGGCTGCCGCCTGCATTCTCCTGCCTTCACAGTCTTCTTCAGGGCAGCTTTTCCGACCCACTCTGAGCCTGCACAACATATCATTATACCATCTCTTACAATCAGAGGGTCCACCCAATTCCTTCCTCCTACATACAGATGAAGTCACCAGGGGCCCAGAGAGAAGACATGCCTTGCTCAATCAAGGTCACAACAAGTTAGTAGCGAATGTGTAGATTCTTGAGGAAATGCTTGACTGGTACATTAAAGAAACTGGTATGGTCACTTTCAGAAAGATTTTGGTAGTTATTTGTTAAAACAACAACAAATGTGTGTGCACTAGGAACCAGTAATTTCACTACACTATATTTACCCTACAGACATTCTAGGGTAGATAAAGAAATATTTGAGTTTTCATCTTATATAATACTGTGAAGCTCTTAAAGGGAGGGCTAGATATATTATGTAGCAATATGGATAAAGCTCCCAGACAAATAGTAGCAAAGAAGAAAAAGAGAATTATGCTTGTATGATTTCATCTACGTAACACACACATACATACACATGTGGATATACATGTATTTATAGAAAAGCAGGATGGGGAAGCACTGGAAGAATACACTTATACTTTCTCCTATTTTAAATTTAAAATATTACATGTTTATAAATGCAAAGAATGTCCCTTGGAGGAAGCACACCAAATTCATAAGCACTGTAACTTCAGGGGAGGCCAAAAAGGAACAGTTTTTTGCAATGTTTTAATTTAATTTTGTATTTTCAAAAGTATTTAAATACTTTTGGAACAATACGCAAATAGGACAAATGAGTTACTATCACTTCCTACTTCCTCTATCCCTCAACTACCTGGTTTTCTTTCCTTAAGACAAGTTTCTTTCATTATAACAAGTTTCTTATACATTTCTTGGGAATGTGCTATACATTTGTAAATGTGCAAGTGTAGTTTAACTTTTATAAAAGATGTATTAGTATGTTATTTGTGATATTAAAATGGATTTTTTAAGTGGGAGAAACTTTTTTTTGTTGTTTGTTTGTTTGTTTTTGAGACAGAGTCTCACTATGTTACCCTCTGTAGAATGCTGTGACATCACAGCTCACAGCAACCTCAAACTTTTGGGCTTAAGTGATTCTCTTGCCTCAGCCTCCCAAGTAGCTGGGACTATAGGTGCCCATCACATCACCTGGCTATTTTTTGGTTGCAATTGTCATTGTTGTTTAGCAGGCCTGGGCCAGGCTTAAATCCACCAGCTTTGGTGTATGTGGCTGGTGCCCTACTCACTGAGCTACAGGTGCCGAGCCATGGGAGAAACATTTTAATTACATTCAAATATTTTTTAAAAGTGAAGAGTTGAGCAACAGAAAAGTTTTTAACAGAATTCATCATATTAACAAATTAAAGGAAAAGAACAACACCCTCATCTTGATTGATGCAGAAAAAGCATTTGATAAAAGTCAACTAGGCATTTATATTAAAACTCCTAGCAAACTGGGAACATAGGAGAACTTAACAACTTTGATAAATGTTATCAGTCAAAACCTATCACCCTACAGATTAATATTTCTCATGCACAAAGACACAAGAATCATTAACAACTAATTAGCAAATCAAATCCCGCAATGTTAGAAAATGTAACATTTATATATATGATGAAGAATTGGCTTGTCTGTCCCAGTTACTGGGAGATAATCTTTAAGCCTGTGGAATTTTCTAAATAAGAAGGATGTTTTTGTTATTTGTGGTGGACCCCCTTAGATCCCACCTGATAGTTTTATGCTAATGAGGTAACTCATAGGACTTCTGGTTTTGCTAATGAGATGACTCAGGATAGGGATTGGACACACCAGAAAGATCAGCCATGTGATTAGAGCAGTGCGGAGAAAATCTTAGTTGTGCCTCAAAAATTTTTAAAGATCATTAAATTATTTTTGAAAGAAGTTCAAAGCATAGTGTATATATATATATATATATATTTACTTTTTTTCCCATCAATGTCATTTAAGTGTGCCGTGGAAGTTTAGGTTCAAGTGTGCTGTGAGATTAAAAAAAAAAGGGTGAAAAACACTGGATTAGAGGATTGGAACTTTGAGTTAAATGATATCAACTCTCCACGGAAGTGAGGGAGACTAGAGATTGAATTCAACCATATAGCCTATGACTCAATCAATCATACTTACACAAGGAAGCTTTAATAAAAGCTCTGGATGCTGAAGTTGTGTAAGCGTCCCTGGTTAGCAATACTCCTTGAGCACTGTCACATTTTGATGCCCAGAGAGTAATTTGTCCTCAAGAACAATGGAAAGTTTATGCTTAGAACCTTCTCAGACTTTCTTATGAGTATCTTCTTTTGGTTGGTTAGATATTGTATACTTTGCTAATATACAGCTGTACGGTAAGTGTAATGCTTTCCTGAGTTCTGTGAATTATTTTACTAAATTATCAGACTCAAGGGAGTCTTTTAGGACCCTCACATTTGTAGCCAGCTGGCATAAAGTAAGAATGGCCCTGAGGATCCCTAAACTTGCAACTGGTATCTGAAGTAAGGGCAGTCTTATGGAGGACAGTGCCCTCAAGAATTTGCAGTTTGGCACTCATTACAGTACCCTATGGCCAAAATCATGTGAGGCTTATCCCAGGAATGCAAGGTTGGTTCAACATCAAAAATTAATTATTGTAGTTCATCTTATTGGCAAAATTTTTAAGAAACCCTTTGATCATCTGAAATATGCAGAAAAAGAATTTGACAAAATTCAGCACCCATCCATGATTAAAAACTCTCAGGAACCTAGGAAAAGAAATGAATATGTCAATGTGATAAGGAGAATTATGACAAATTATAAGAGTGTTTCTGAAAGTGTATAAGAGTATTGACTTTGCTTCACTTTGTGTGTGTGTGGTGTGCACTGCACTGGGTCCCAGTGTAAAATACATTTCTGAGGGGGGCAGCAGTTAGGTAAGTGGGAAGCAGTTAGG